AGGACAAACAGAAAAACCTGGATGAGGTAATTGGCTGCTAACAATGACAGTCTGGGACATGAGGCTGCCCTTGTACTTTAATTAGGATGTTTGTGTTGCTCTGCAGCTACATATCTGTCTGCCTGAATTTCAGTCTGGTCAATTTGGTGGATTTTGCAGGGTTCTCTTGAGTCTGTGGAGGGCAGCTGCAAGGTCTGTGGCAACCACGATGAGGAGGAGGAGGAGGAGGCTGGCTGTGAAGAGAGCGTCGCCACCAACAGCAGCCCTTCCTGTAGTTGTCCAGACACCACCAAACCAGGTAAAAAAAAAAACAACACACAGACATCACAACAACTTGTATCATTAATGAAGGTTCATGCATTCGTAAGACAAGTTCTTCCAGTGCTTTGGGAAATCAGATTTCTCATTTGTTTCTCCAGATTTGTCCCCTCACAGCATTGGTAGTGACTACGGCTACTCCTCAAGTATGGAAGGTAGCGAGATGGGATCACGAGAAGGCTCTGATGTCGCCTGCTCCGAGGGAATCTGCAACCACGACGAACCAGGTCAGCTTTTAGCAACTCTGAGACGTCTTACAGCAGGAATATTTTCAGCATTTTAGTCAACATTATACCTACAAGCTAGTCACCCTTCTGCGACAGTGTAGAGGGACAGAGGGCTCCGACTAGCAGGGCTCCAGACTGAGACCAACATGGTCCCATTTGCAACTCTTTTTTTTAGAGAGAGTGAGAGTTCAGATTTCAAGTGGTCACATGGGCGCGAGTGCAGGACGATCACGCAGCTGTGTTAGTGTCGCTGTAACCGGCGCAGGCAGCTCCTGTGTTATAACAGTGGTAGAAAGTAGTACCTTTAAAACGTCAGTGCGCTGCAGTATTTACGCTTAAAAATGAGATCTTCTCGTGAAAACCAGAGCGCACCTGCACTCGCTGTTTTTTTCAGCTCATAGAAACGACCGCATGTAGAAAAAAATCACTTGGTTTCAACTTGGACAAATCTGACATTGGAATGCCCCAGTTTACTCTTTTTAAAGTTGTTTTTGGTTGCACACTGGTCTGAGCACCGCAGCCTGCAATGTGGGGCGTTCGTGAAACATGGGTACATTGTAGTGTCTATCGATAAGAAAACGTTCAGCAAGACATATGTTCTGCCTGTGACGAGGTGGGTATGAGGCCAAATGAGAAAGTTGGTTAGTTAGTCTGGAGCCCTGAATAGAGTTATACCTGAGTCAGAATTATGTCAGACAAACTGGACTTTAACAAGATAGGCCTGCTTCTTTATTTCTCTTTAAACATAAATACCAATAAATAAATCTAAACAAGAATAAATTAACAAATTAAATGATTAAAGCTTGTTATACATTGTGGTTAAGATAATAATCTAATTGAATATATGTGATTGTGTTGTTTTCATGTTGCATTCGAATCTGAATTCTTTATTTGTGTATTAAAATCAGAGAATATCCCTTTACCTGCCTGGTTTTGTTTATGGACCTTGTCACCTCTTCTCCTATTCTGACGTTTGCAGGTCTTAAACATACAGTATTGTGTCTTAATCTTTTTTTTCTGTCACTGTCTGCTTTTATTGACCCCCTGAAGGTGACGAGCCAAACGTCCTTCACTGTGCTGAAGACAAGGAGGAGGATGGCATCGACAGCTGCGTGGACTGCTGGCCACACGCTGTGGAAAACACTCAATGCAAGAGTAAAAAGAAGAAAAGAAAGGGCAAAGGTTTCTGCCACGATCAGGTGAGAGAGCAACACGGAGGACCGACGTGGTGTGTGCAGAACATTCAGCCGTGTTTACCAGCTAACGTGTGCGTTTCCACAGGGACGAAAAAGTGACGGTTGTACGTCAGTTGTGAACACAGCAGGCCACAGTCCACCATCAACACACGCTTGCCGAACCAAAGAAATGTTTTCCTCCTTATGTGGCGATAAATTTGCCAGCATCGCATTACGGTTACCATGGACAGCTCATCAGAAGAACCTCAGCATTGGTGTGAGGCCTCCAGAGGCAAACATTAGTCTTGTGGAACTTCTGGTAAGTCAGAACTGAGTTTAAAGATAAAAGTGTCTCATATTGGATCATTTAATTTATAACAGTAGGACACATATTGTCATGACTAATGTCTACACTGAGGTAGGTGCACATAACAAATAAAACTGCTAGACTTGACCTTTCTAACAATGCTAGTCTGTATGATGAAGTGTCTACAATAGTTCATTCACCAGATTTTTAACAGTTACGACCTGCATGCAGCTGTGTGTCTGTCCTCCATCCATGCTTTGAGTGACTCATGAACTCACTATTGCATCATGTCAGTATATACATATGTTCATTTCTATGCGTTGCAAACGTATCTACACAATAATATTTTAATGTCAAATCAGAAGAAACACTGGAACCAGAGCTTTTATTATTATGCTTGTTACATATTTAGACATACTAAAGTGATAATGTTATTAAGGCAGATGTCACTGAAGTATCACTTTTGCATATTTATTTATCTGCTTCACACTTCTGCTTCTCAGTTGAAAAGGTCATAAAACTCCAGTGATACCAGTTGTTCCTCTGTGCAACAAAGAGCCATTGAAGTACAGTCGTGACTCAGTAATTTGACCCTTAACGATCTAAAAACGTTGCTGTCTGACAGTTTTTTAGGAAAAACAAACGGAACCCGTAATAAATAGCCTTAACGGCGTATTATCTGACTGAACAATCCGACAGATTGGCTACGTTCAGACTGCAGGACTTAATGCTCAATTTGCATTTTTTTGTGAAATCCGATTTTTCATGAGTTCGTTCACATTTCCAGTTAAATGCGACTTGTATGTGATCTGCTGTGTGAACTTCATACGACCCAAAAGTGTCCCGCATGCGCAGAAGAGGACACGACGACGTCACACGCAGCGAGCGTGCTCAGTGTTTGGGGAAGTAACCACGGATGATGGAAATAGAACTGTGACGACTATCCTAAACTGGCATCAGCAGCCAAGTACTGCCTGTGTGTTTCGGCCACTTCCACCCCGTCGGAGCGCTCCCCGGGGTGGAAGTGTCCCCCCCTGGCCACACCAAATATTCGGATGTTCATCATTAATTGGGTCTGAATACCCAGAGACCAGAAAGTTCTATTGGGACCAAACCTACTAGTTATTATGACAACTATGAACAATAATTAACAACAAATGAGCCTTCAAGCATCAAGCTCTCCTTGTATCTGGACCTCCGTCTTGAAAATCCAACAGCCTTGCTATCCAACATAAAAGGTTTTACATTTAGTGTCGGATTATCGAGTCACGGCTGTAATTCAGTTTTCTCCCAATTAATTAACGTAGTAGTTCGATTCACTGTAACTCCTCCCTGTAACCTCTACTTCTCTGGTTCACAGGATGACTCAGAGGTGACTTCGGATGAGGAGAATTGTCTGACACAGGATGAAATCCAGGCGTTTTTAGAAAGAAACCAGTCTTTCTACGACAACCGCCAGCAGTACCGACAGCTCCTGAAAGAGAAATTCACAAACTACTGCCGTGCCACCGAGCGGCGTAAGCCGGTCTGTGGAAAGTGGTTCGCCACAACCAGTGTCAACTAACTGTACTTATGACATCTTCTCCTGGGACAAACACTCATGACCACTGCTGCAACATTAAGAGGAGATACATCTCTGGAGTATCTTTGGTGTCTTGTTCAGTCATTTCTCCTTTGAAGTAAATGTGATTCTTACTTTCTCTTTGTCATCTCTTTCTCTCTCTTTCTCTCTTTTGCACTTGTACACCAACACACTTTTCCATCTCATTTCTTGGCCACTTTCTTACCTGTAGTTGTTCTCTTTGACCAAGCCTAGCTATTTGTTGTTGGTCTTCTGTAGGGTTTTTGGGTAAGAGCACAGTGGAATCAATAATCGAGCTTTGCAAGCTGTGACATTAGGGATAAATTTTAGGAGTCTTATTTTATGTTTGTTTTTTTTTTCTATTATTATTTTTGGTTTCTATTCTGTTTCTCTTTGGTGACACTTCAATGTAGTTTAAAAAAAAAAAAAAGGTCGTACGATTACATGTGTACAGAAATTCTAAATATAAAGATTTTACAGACAAATAAACATCCATTTGTAATAAGAATTTGGGTGTGAGGTTCAGAGCGCAATGTGCAAAATTTACTAAATAAAGAATATTTATTAATATGCATCATGCATTTGGTGTTTTTTTTTACCGACCTTAAGTGTTTGTCTGTGTTTTGTTATCTTAAAGATATAGTTATTATTTTGCAATCTGCTTTGTCCAGGTATTTACCAATTAAGCTCTACAAACACAGGACCAAGGCGGACCGGGAGTGATACAGTCATCCTCAGATGTATTCATAGCCTCCTGTTAAAGAAGGAAAAAAAACATCCGTCACTGAAATAAGTTGAAATTGACAAAAGTAATGTTAAATAAAAATGTAATGAAAATCATGACATTGCTTTTGAATTGTGGTTCAACAGAAATATAAAATGTTTTTTAAAAACAAGCATGATGGGACCCGTAAACTAATATTTTGTTGAACAATCAGGTGTTTTCTGTGATTCTCAGTCAGACTTTGCACCTGTTGACAGGTATTTGGATTTCACTGCTCATCAGCAAAGTACTCTAATTCATCTAGGACAGTTTTTTTTTTTTAACGATTCTTTTCAACCACAATTCAAAAGCAATGTCTTATTTCACTAAATTAGAATTTAGCAAATTTTTATTTATTATTACTTTTTTAAGTTTGTTGTTATTTGAGTGGCTATTGTGAGTTTTATCTTTTCTTTAATGAAAGGGTCTGAATACATTTGGCTGTACATGAGAGCGACATGAACAGTGTTATTTGTAGTTGTGTCCAGTAGGCGGCGCCATGTAACCGCCCTCAGATAGCACCTCCAGGCCCCAGGGCTCAGAAACAAAGTGGGAGGTGATGTGAACCAAACATTTACACTCTCCAGGACTCTTCATATTTCGGCCAGAGGAGCGCATGGATCCGGGTTTACGCGCACTGGCTGCTGCTGCTGCTGCTGCTGTCCTGGATGCTGCACGGACTGACACAGAAGGCGGCTGCATCCCAACATTTTTTTATTTTTCTTTTTGAAACGTATCGAACCATAAAAGCTGCGAGTGTTGAGAGCCTGAGCTGAGCGGACAGAGGTTCGGCACCGGGAGCTGTTGTTTGGTGTAAACAGTGCGGTGGAGATGGAGCGGTGGAAAGGCAGAGTGGCCCTGGTGACCGGAGCCTCGGTGGGAATTGGAGCGGCTGTAGCCCGGGCACTGGTCCAGCAAGGCATGAGGGTTGTCGGCTGTGCCAGGAATGTCGACAAAATAGAGGTGGGCCATTTAATTAAAACCTCATCAATTAATGCTGCGAGACAGGTCGGTGAGAGGAGAAGCTAGCTGTGGGAGAGCAACAACAAACTAGCTAACTAACGTTGGGCGCTAGCTAACATTAGCTTTACAGTTGGAGCCTTTAGCCTCGGTGCTGCAGCGACTCTCGGGATCATCTGGGGGGGCATGAGGGGCAGCGGTGGCTTTGTTTGTCGGAAGTCAGGCATTATGCGACTGAGGTTGTCACATTCATTTAAGAGGGGAAAAAAACCCCGTAACAGCTTCTAGTTTCATAACATTTTTGCTCATATTAATTGACAGTAAAGACAGGAGCTAGCTCGTGTGTGCCTCACAGAGACACGTCCAGCAGAGCAAGTCCTGGATGTCACACACCAGCGTCCATTAAACGAGTCAATAATGATGCTGCTGGACCAGCATCCCTCTGCATTACCCCACCACACCCCTCATCTATAGGCTTCTCAATTATTAATCCCGGTTGGACATTTCACTTTCTGATGGTTGGTGTTTTCCTGTGAGGTCAGAGGTCAGGATGAGCTTATCTAATGGCTCTTAGGTAAGGCAGAGAGCTGCTAACTAGCCATGGTGTGGCAATAAGTGATAATAAATAATGTGAGTGTCTCTCATGATCACACACTGTGTCTCTGCCAGCAGGATTAACAACAACAATAAAAGATTTTTTTAAAAAAGTGACCCAAATTTATTATATAACCACGAAATTATTTATAAAAATCAGTTGTAGGAAGGCTTCACTTGAAAAATAGATCTGGATTTAGGGTTTATTTAAAAAAAATCTGAGTTAAACAAGCTGTGCATTGATTTATATTTCCACTGGGAATTTTTTTAATCTAATGATGTAACTTCAGATGAATGCGTGTCACATTTGTGAGGTCAGCGCTCTCTCTTTTTTATCTTTATCACAGGGTTTAAATCACTCCTACTATGCCAGTAACAGACTAGTCTTACTATTATTTAAATGCTGCTCTAATCATGACTGTGAAAGTAATTAGTGCCGGTGGTGATTATGCTTGAACTGAATTTATCATGCTGAACCTGTGAACTTTGGGCTATAATTAGAAAATTAAATAATTATTAAAGTTCAGTTCAGCTTGTGTGACACACATTCAGGCAGAGATGCTCAGAGGTATCAGCTGGAGGGCGGATGCCTCTCCCCCCGGGGGCAGGTGTCGCTGGCCCTGCCCCGCTAACTCTAGTCTCACCATAAGCCATACGCGCTGCACCTTGCTTATCTTGTCAGCCAGTAATTAAGCCTCCTCGCCCCACAGATTCCAGCACGGTGCCGCAGAACGCCTACTACTCCTACGTGTTTCAGACAGCTAATGTGTTGTTGTGAACTCTGTTGTGTTTGAATATCGCTGGTGTTGCGCTGTAGGATGTCACCTGAATGTGTGTATCCAACATAACAGTTTATGTTAGATAATGTGATCAGAATGAAGTAAATTATCCTTGAGTGATTGGCAGGAGAGATGCACATTGTCCATCTGGCCGTGCTCTGTTACAAAAGCCTTCCAGTTCAACCTACAATTCTCAACAACAGGCCATCCGTGCGACGTCATGTGACATTACGCATGATGACCTGTGATATCCTGTTGTCAGGCAAGAGACACGAGCATGTGGCCTGATGCAGATAGTTCAGTTCTTCACCCAGCATCATTCATCTTCTTTCCCCCAGTGGTCCAGCAGCGTGCTGCACAACAACCTTGGCTGTTACACCAGCTTCTCGTTACTGTTTGCAATAACACTGTTTGGCAAACCTCGGCAAGAGCGTTGCGGCAACATCCGTTTCAGGAACTTTGATGATGGTGGTGGTGATGTAGAACTAGGCCTGCGTGATATGAGGAACATCTTCCATCGCATTGTTGTTATATGTACACTGCTACCATAGACCCCAAACATGACATCACCTACTGAATACAGACATTAAACAAAAGATTTCAAACATGCTTTTATTGAGCAAATTGCACATAAACACCCAACCAGTTAAACGGAACGTGAATTTCATAAATCCCCTCAGATGAAAATCAACTTTTTTTCCACTTGTTAACATATGGTCCATATGGTCCATATGGTGCTTCTTATATAACCTAAATAATCAATAATCAGCGGTCAACACTACGGTTGAACATGTCCACTGTGAACCTGCAGTGAACCGATACCACTCTTAAAAACACAGATTTCCAGAGTTTCATGTGTAACAAACCTAAAAAAAAAAAACCTACAGGGTGGAGCCTTCTGTGTCATTATTCTTCTTTAGAATCGTTCGTGGTTGTTTGCCGGAATTACTGCAGTATTACAGCTGGTCATCAGGTAGCACGGAGTAGCTTCACAGTGTTTGAGCAGAGTCGTAGGTGAGCTGGTGTGCTCGAGCTGCAATGAGAGGTGGGCGTTGTTACAGCTCGATCATCTTGAGGAAGTAAGGGAGGGACTACCTTGATAGAAAAAAATCTTAATATGTAGTTTTATTACACAGATGAGTTTTAGGGGTTGAATCAATGCCTGCAGATGGACTTCAAATAGGACGCACGATATATCGGTGAGTACATCGGTATCGGCCGATATTAGTGTTTTACCGATATATCAGTATCGGTCCGATGAGCGAATTTAGCCGATGATTGTCTAACATTAGCGCCTTCGTCTCTACATTTGATATTGCTGCTATTTCACAGATGTTTTTACTCAAATGGTCCTGGATTTTAAACGTGTTTTACTTTTGTTACGTAATAAATAAGACTACGTGGTCTAATTTGGTATTATGAGCTTCTTCTGAATAGTTTCTCACAGTCCTTACTTATACTCATTTTTCAGTGTGAACAAAAACTGAATATCGGTAATATTGGTTATCGTCAATATCAGAAATCTTAATATCGGTATTGGCCAGAAATGTTAACATCTTGCTTCACTACCTTAAATGAAGCCAAATTATCATTTTCTTAATGTTTATTTCAGGTTCGGTCTTGTTTTATGACATGCAAGCATTTCCCCCACCTTGACTACACACTCACACCCATGACCACAGCAGCATGAGCGTTGTGCAACCGATGGCCTCCCTCCATTCATACTCTGGTCACATGTCTCCTCCTGTCAATAGTTAACTGCAGCAGCTGGTTTCAGCCCCTGTTTGTGACTTCTGCAAAACAAGGTCACAACATTTCTGATCTGTATTTTCCCGACACAGACATCAGGTAGTGTTGAAGAGCAGCCAACATTATTTATTATTTATCGTGACTTACAACACATGGCGTCAGAACTTATTCATCAGCTAATAAGTGATAAATAACAGGTTGTAGAGAGCGATTGGTTTCTGTCGCTCTCGTTCCATGTTGGATTTCACCATCTGTACGAGTCCTTAGAGAGATATCTGTGTGAGGGACAAAGCCAGTATTGTACCCTCCCTGCTATGTAAACTGGGTTCTTGCTGTTGTTGTGCCAAACCTGGCATGCTGCTAGTGGGGAATGCAAGTGTCCATGCATCACCAGGCAATTGTTCTGGACTTCCCTTTTGGGTTTTTATTACTTTGCTTGGGGGAAATAAAGCTCTTATAGTCGGTATTTTCTCCCAGCAATATTCTCCCACACAGTAGACCCGAGGAAACGTTGTAGGCTTCTGTTTTCTGTGTAAACAAAACTCTGAGAAAGTGGAGTGGAGAGTTCTGGCAGCGGTATTGTTTTGTTGTCTACGAGACTATAGAGTAGGCAGCGGGGGAGCGGCGAGCTGGAGGGAGACGTGTGGTCACCATGGGCTCTGGGCAGGAATGGAGACGCCAAGGAGCAGAAACACAACTTCGCATTAACTCTTGTGAAACCCCGCAAGACCGATGGATGGAGTTTAAAAGTGGCCTCGGTGCCGTCCAGAAGTGTGCCAACGAGAGCCACGCAGTATCACACATCCTCATTACGGCCAGGCACTGCAGCAGAGGAGGGACGATATCAAACAGAAGGAGCAAAATATAAACTGCCTTATTACAGGAACTCGTATCTGCTGCAGGAGAATAAGAGGACAGCTAGTCACTGATTGAACAGGCCCCTTTTTTTTCTTAGAACTCTCACCCACATAGCCCATATGTGTGTGTTTTATCTGCTTGCCTTGCACATTGTGATGCACTGCTAGCAGCACAGTTATGGGAGGATGAACTGTGGTTGGGACAAATATGAGATTCAAGACTATTGTTCAATTCTTTCACCACATTTGGCAGTGAAATATCCTGTAATCTGTAGCATAACTTTTCATTTGTTTATAGAGGTGATTATTGTTTTTGTTGACTAAGTGAATTTTGAGTGGTAATGAAATCTAGAAACAGTTTCATTAACCTGGTTGCTAACAGGACTGTCATTAAATCTGTGTTTACGCCTTTTAAATCCAACACAACCAGCTCCATTTTTGTCTTTTTGCATTATCTGCAGGTAGAGCTACAGCGATTAATCGATTAGTGTTCAGTTATTATGTCATTGATGCAGCCTGCTATTGGCATCAACGCCCCGTCACACTTAAACTTGTTCTATGGCACTTATCCATGTTGTTCTCTCCTGACTGGATCCTTGCTTGTGTCTCAGATGTACGTCGCTTTGGATAAAAGCATCTGCTAAGTGAAACTATAGAATTATCATCAACTAAATAATAATAATCAATTAAGTAATTTTTTAAGAAAAAAAGTAAACATTCTTTATTTCCTGCCTTTTTTTATTTCACTCTTCTATCGCCATGTTTCCATACCATATTATTCTAAAGCAGGGGTCTCAAACTCAACTCACCTGGGGGCCGCTGGAGATAAGAGTCTGGGTGAGGCTGGGCCGCATCAAGACTTTCACAAAAAAAGGGTTTCAAGTACCCAAAAAAGTACAACTGGTCCAATCTTCTCAGTCTTTATTAATAACAATTCAGAACATGAAAGGTTCTTCAGAACACAGGCTTCTCCTACCTACACTTCCTCTCACTGAGCTGAGCCACATTTGGTTTGAGGGAGGAA